CACAATATGATTATTGTGATAAATATTTAACTCATCAAAAGGAATGATCATCTAAAGGGAATTGTTGAATTAATTCACAATCCAAAAACATTACAATCAAAGTGTATGTTTATGAAGAAGGAATCAAACTTTGCTTGCCATTGTTCGATCCAAGATTTAATGATTTACAAATATCGTTTTGAGGACATGCATTACAACAACAATTGCGAATATACTAAACAAGAAACTTAACCAAAGCAGTAGAAAAGATGTCATAAGAGTTATGATTTGGAAATGTTTCAAAAGTTATCTTTTCTAAACAGGATTAAGGATTATGAAATCAATGTAAAATGTTTACAAAGATGACATAATTCACCTTAAATCAGAAATATAGTTCTTCGTGGGTTTTCTCATGGAAACTAAGAGGTATTATTCCTACAATCGCGTAGAAACAAAGTGTTTGTTGCTCGCGATAGTGTCTTTATAGAAAGAAATCTCTTCCTACAAAGCCAAGTGGGAGTAAAGTTAGATCTCGATGAGATTGGAGACGAGCAACAAATGGATGTGGATAACACTACATCAGAGACGAAAGCGCATGAAATCAGCTAATTTGTTAAAACATGCGTCGAAGCAAGATAATTCAACTAGCGAAGCTTTTATCGTCCCACTAGAATGAAAGGCTTCAAAGAGTTGAAGAGAAAAATTCTATTGTCGCTCATACCTATCGTAGGTTACTTGGGATCAAAACAAACAATTTGTTGAAATTATGAGAAAAGGTGGATTCTAAAAATTTCCCTATTGGAATGGTTAGAATCCATGGCCTACAAGCAAGCTTTGGATAAGTGCCAACTCAGGAAATGGGTTAAATCCATGAAATACAGTATGGATTCCATGTTTGTAAAGATGTGTTAGTCCATAATAGTCTTATAAATAGGGTCAAACCTATTAGTTGGGTAAGCCTATTCGGATTATTCTAGTTATGGATATCAAAATCACCTTCATGAAATGTTCTCGATGGTGAACATGTATATGATACAACCTAAGAGTTTTGAAATCCAGATATCCTAGAAATTTTTGCAAACTTTAGAAATTCATTTATGGATTGAAGTAAGCATTAAGGAGTTGGAACATTCATTTTGATTAGGCAATCAAACAGTTTGATTTCCTTAATAGAACGAAAAGGGAATCTTGTAGAGACAAGAAGTTTAGTGGGAGCAATTGGTCTTCTTAGTCTAGTATGTAGTTGACATACAGTTCATATGAAATGATATATCAATGCTTGAATAAGTCAAGTAGTGGTTAGAAAGATTGTTTCTATATGAGAGACTTAAGTGATGTTGAGTACATATTGGGAATTAAGATCCATGAAGTGAATCTTGAAAAATGATTGGAATGAATCGATCGAGAGACTTATGTTGATAAGGATCTTGACAAGTTCATGAGCAAGACTCTAAGAGAGGATGTCTTCCCATGTTTCATGGTATTACACTTAGTAAAACTCAGTGCCTTCAAAAGCTAATAGAGTTGAGTTGTATGGATAGTGTACCTTATGCTTCTGCAAAAGGATCCATTACATGTGCCATGAAATGTACAAAGTAAGATGTTGCATATGACTTGTGCATGTGTAGCAGGTTTCAAGCAAATTCAGAATAAGCATATGGAGAGTTACCAAGAACAGATCCTTAAGTACTTGAGAAGCACTAAGAGGAATTATTCTAGCTATTATGTTAAAAGGTAATTTAATCAAGTTGTCAAAAGGTTACACGAATGCAAGTTTTCCAAATAGGCAAGATGATTCTAGATGGTGATCTAAATGCATATTTGTGTCTGGATGGAGAAGGACAGTGAGCTTGAAGAGTTCAAAGCAGAGCACTATTGCATACTCAATGTCATAATATGTGTATTAAACTACAGTAAGATAGTTAGAGAGGAAGTTCTTATTAAAATGTCATGTGACTAACAGGTCACCTTTGCCCGAGAACAAAAGATCCAGGGTCACATCACAAATCCAAACAAAAGGATATGAGATATCACCTCAATTATGAGATCATTGACCACCTGAAGGTCGATTTCTGCAAAGTTTTATTATGAGTGAGAAATCACTAAACCCCTTCCATGGACTAAGGTATGAGAGTCATATTAAAGTCTTAGGATTGAAGCAAGTTATGTAATTTAAGTTGTATATGTTTTGAGAAAACATATTACATGAGAAATGCATCAATTTGCAGAATTATGTTTAAAATAGAAATTATTATTTCTCTTATTTAATTATGGTTTTTGAAATTAAATAAAATGTCCAAAATAATTATGAATTTATGGGCTCATCGGGTTGATGACATGGTGAATTGAAAGCCCACAGGTGAACAAAATTCATAAATTATTTAAGTTCCTAATTTGAGATCATTAAAGTGGAAATAAATGATTTCAATAAATGAACTAGCATGTAAGATTGATTGGATAGCGCAGTTTCATGGGCTATAGGGGCATAGTGATGCTCAATCAATCACTTGGATATGCATGAATGATGCATGATCGAACTAATGACCTACTTTGAAGTTCAAGTATAGAGCTTCCGTATATATTAGTGGATTCCTTTGACATGAGTGGAACATTGATTTCATTCAATGGATGTTGTGACTGTGGTACACTCAAACGTCTAGCCGTAACTGGAGATTATAAAAGGTGTTTCCTGGTTATTCCAGAAGTTGAGTGGGAGTCATGTTACCACAAGATTGGATAGAGTCTACCTATTAAATTAGGAAATGTGTCATGGCCGCTTGAAGAGGGAGTATTCAAAAAATACGTGGCCGCGTTCAAATGCATTACACAGTAATCATTTGGTTTTGTAATTCTAACTCAGATTTCAAGAAACGATTTGTAGATTAATATGATCTCGACATGTGATGCAATCATATTATCAAATCGACACATACATTGACTTAAGGAATATGAATATTGCACCCTTGTCTCAGACAAGTGGGAGATTGAAGGAGTTATGTCTTCGTCGTGTGCAATTACTAGATATATAAATGGATCAAATTATGGAGATAATTAAGTTCATACATTTGGGTCGTCGTTTTGCCATAGCTAGAGGTACTAATGATCTTTGGACTAATAAAATAGCCCAAAGCCCAATTGGACGGATCCTATAAGGTCACACAAAGGGGCTAGATCGAGCATTAGAGTACGAGGTCCATCATGGGCCTCATCATTCTAGGTGGCCGGCCATATGGAGTGGATAAGAGGGTTTTGAGCTTCGTGCCCTAGTCTAATTATATTAGGATTATAAATAGACTAGGTGCCTAGGTTTGCAAGTAAGCAATTAACTGATCAGTGTGATCAAACCCGAATTAGCAGACACGAAACCCAACCCCTCTCATAGTCCTCTCTCTCACGGCTCTCTCCTCCTCCTCACGCCGGTGGTGGTTTGTGGTGGTGGTGGTGGTTCGTGTGGTGGTCGGTTGTCTGTAAAGGTGGTGATCGCGGTTTTCCTCAATCACTCGACCAATCTAGTATTGTTGGACGGCTCGTTCGAATCTTGTGGACTAAGTAGAGGAGCAACGCTTGGGGATCTATTCTCTCCCTAATTTGTCGGTCGAATAGCTTCGTGAAATTCACGCGTCAAAGGTATATATGATTATGTGTCTTGTGTGTTATGCTTGTGATTTTGGGATTGGTTACTTGATTGAATATGATTCATGTTAATTCCGCTGCGTAGTACCTATAAATTCCTACACAAATATACCATGCATGAGTTGGTTATGTGAGTGTTTTTTAGGTTCAAAATAAATTATGATATATGGCTAGTCACATCATGTAGCCAATTATCATAGGGGTTATTTTATTAGTGTTATAAGGGTTATTTCATTAGTGTTATAAGAGTTATTAGGTCAGTGTAACAGGTGTTACTTGGTCAGTGTTATAGGGTTTTTTTTTTTTTGAAGACTATTATAGGAGTCATTTTGTTATTTTATAAGTGGTTGCACGGTTTTACTAGCTGCACACAAGACGGGTTGTTTATTGATTATTCCGTGAAATATACCTCATGAGTCGAGACTAATCCAACAAAATGAGTACTCCCTCCGTTTTTAAATACTTGCTCCACTTTCCTTTTGCGGCCGATTTTAAATACTTGTTCCACTTTCCTTTTGCGGCCGATTTTAAATACTTGCTCCATTTTCTTATTTGGAAAACTTTTATAATATTTAATTAATATATCTCAACTAGTGGGACCCAATTTTATTACTTTTACATTCTCTCTCCTCCAACTTACCATCCACTAACCCCACTATCTTTATATTTTATTAATTTCTTCAATTTCTCCTAAAACTCCGCGCATGGAGAAATGGAACAAATATTTAAAAACGAAGTAAGTACTTTATCTATGTATTTTAAATTACAACGTTTGAGATTTTGCACTATTCACACTCCTTTAATTACCACCTATTATGATTTACGAGTATATGTTACGGAGTAAAAAACACATAGATTTTGGTTAGATTTGTCTTGATTTGTACTAATCAAAATGGATAAAGTAGTACGGATTAACATTTGTTATTTATACTCACTCCATTTCGGAATAATGACACACTTTCTTCTTTTGAGCAAATTTTATTTTTTATATTTAAAAATACAAATTATTTATGTATTCAAACTAATTTAGGTTGGATTTAAGTCGCATCAAACCGGTGTTGAGTTGAACCCAGGTGAAGTTATAACTCAAAATTAAGCCTGGCAAGGGATATAGATTGTGCAAAGACAAATCGGGTCGGTTTTTTTTTACCTCTAAAATTAACAATCACCAAAGTACCAATTACCAAACAACTAAAGGAATATTTGTCAAAAATAACACCACCTTTCACCGGTCTTCCAAGAATAGAACGACTTTTTGATTATTTCAAAATAAAACGACCTTTAACACACATTTGCATAAAAATGAAACAAAAAACTTGTAACCTGTTTTATAGGTTGCATTTGCCACGTGTCACATGTTGATTGGTTAAAATAATTAAATTTTATTTTATCATTTTTCTTTAATATTTTTTTTTTTAAAAAAACTTAAATAAAAACAAACATTTTTAAAAAAATTAAAACCAAAGAAAACTGAAATAAATAAAAAAATGTCCCCTGCCATCACCGACAACCACCGCCGCGTTTTCCCCATTACCGCCGATAGCCAGAGCCTTTTTGCCGGCGCCGGCAGAACCCTCCAGATCTCGACCACCAAGCCACCGGCACAAGAAATGACTTTTGGGGTTTGGTTGGATTTTGAACCCTAAAACCACCACTTGATTTTCGGGTTTTAGATCGGGTGGTGATTCAAGGGGGGAAGGGGGTGGAGACGGCCGTAGGAGGGGCGAAATTGGTTCGCCCGCATAGTGGAGGCGGTTTGGGCGGCGGCCGGTGGAGGGAGAAGGGTTTTCGAGGTGAGGGATGAGGGTTTTCAAGGTGAGGGAGGAAGGTTTTAGGGTGGGAGGAAGGAGGACGGTGTTTGAGGAATGGTACCGCCGGTTCCGGGGAAGGGGGCTTTGGTCGCCAACGGTTATGGGGTGGCCCGACGGTGGGGGTGCTGCCAGCAAGGGGAGGGAGTGTCTTTTTATTTTTATAATTTCAGTGTTTATTTTTTTTTTTATAATTTTAAGTTTTTTTTTTAAAAAAAATTTTAAGGTTATTTTTTTAAAAGAAATTGTTAAAAAAATTGACTAATGACATTGTGACACGTGTCACTAGTAACCTATTTAACAAGTTACCAACCGGTTACGTTTCATTTTTGGCAGATGTATATCATAGGTCGTTTTATTTAGGAATAATCTAAAGCTGATTTCATTTATGTAAGACCGGTGAAAGTCCAACAACTAAACAAGTAAGGAAAAGAATAGTAAAATCAAAATGCCTACCGAATAGAGTAGAAGCACAAATTGGTGGTAAATTACCTGAGATTGAAGGATTTCCAAACTTTGCTGCGATGTTAGAAGCTAATTTCATTTTCATAGAGAGAACAAACTCGTTGATCTTCGAGGATAACATTGAAACTGCAGATTCTGGAACCCTACCTCAATCAATCGTAAGCTCCCACTTATTTATTTGCTTGTTTTTTAAGTACTTTTTATTCAATTGATTGTTATTTAGGCTTGTGTTATATATTGGGATTCAATGTTCGTTCAAAACCTTTAAATTCGTTTTTTTTTTTTTTTTTTTTTTTTTAACTTTTTAATCGGAATTGCATTATAAATTCAATACCCTTTTGTTAAATGTTAGTGTTCCATTGATGTGTCTAATAAATGTTTTGCCAATTTCAATGTTACCGTTTTGGCTTTTTAATTTAGGTTTGCTTGTTTAGAGTTTGATCGTATTATCGGTTTGTAACGATTGAAGTTGAATCAAGAGCTTATTAATGAAGTGAATTCAATGGTGGGTAACAATTGGTATTGTGGTTGTAGACTTGTAGTTGAAGTAGCTCAAATTTGGGATAATTGATCAATTTGTGGAAACATGATGACACCCGATTTTGGTCAACTTTTTATGTATAAGGTGTTTGAAATTTGAAGTAGGATTAGTTTATGAGAAGTTCAGATGATTTCTGTCATTACTTAATCATTCAGGATTCAGGAAAGCTATGTGGAATACGAGTCTTTACTATAACAAAAATTTTGGAGTGTGTTTAGCGTCATGCTAACGGTTTGGGGGATTCTTCTTGTATTGTTGATCTTGGTAATTATATCATGAAAAGATAAAGCGAGACTATGGAAGAGAGAAGCTTGGGGGAAGGGAGACCAAGAGGAGAGAGGGGAGGGGGGAGTAGCGAATAAGGAAATATAATGAGGTTCTGAATGGCAAAATGTGGAAGTTTAGTTAAAAAGAAAAGTGTTCTAATGATTTGGGGAAGCAATAAATGCAAGTACACAAAATAATATGGGATAAACAATTAGACAAAGTATTTCCTCCCCCTACACTAGCTGGATTAAACTAAATCATGCGTTTTGCTAGGTTGTTACTTCAAGAGATGGTGTGTTTGAGTAAATATAACTGAAAGGTGTATTTTTGCCATGGTAAAGATTAAAGAAGGCATTGAGGTTCTACTTAATTATTATTTTTGCGATGGTAAAGAAGGCATTGACAAGCTATATTACTTGATTGTTGCTTCAAGGTGGGTGACTCAAACACCTTAGCAGTCTAGTCATATAATGTCTACTTAGTAGAAAATTTAGGAATTTTTCTGGGCCATATTAGTATATTACAATCTTACGGCAAATAGTCTGTTGTTGAGAACTGAGGATGTAGGCATATGAAAATCCATTTCAGCTGGGTAGTACAATTTCAAGTCCTTGGTTGGTTTTGAAGTTGAAGGTGGTTCAAGAGTTCTATTTTACCACTAAACACTCAAATTCCTGATTTGTTCGGATTCTCCCTATTTAAAGAGGTCGTTATTTCTGAGGTGGGTCCATCCTTGTTCTGTGAGAGATGCTTTTGTTTCTTACTTACCACATTAAGGGCAGAAACAGGTTGGTTTGTCACTTTGTCGAAGTGTGAGAGATTATTCTGTATTTCTATTGGAGCCGATCTGGTGATGCAATAGAAAGAAAGGAGCTAGCAGATTTATGAGGGGTTAGCTTTTGTTCTGTGAGAGATGCTCTTGTTTCCTACTTTCCATATTTAGGTTTCATGATGTTATGAGGCTTTTGATTGACTAAATTCGAGTTTTAGATTCTGATCATCACTTGACACTTTTCTTGATCTTGTATACATATTGCTTTATGATAGCCTGAAGGCATGAGCCTATTTTCTTAGTCCTCTTTTGTACATTGGTGACATCTTCTTGGCGTCTTTCTAATATAAAAAATTTGATAGTCTTCCAAAAAAAAAAAAAAAAAAAGTTAGCATTTCAAGCGTGTCATTTAAGTTTTTGGAAAAAGTTGGTGATTACGATAAACAGAAACAGAAGGTGGTGTTGTCAAATATATCATTGTTTCCTGGATTTTCCATTGTCTTATAACTGTTATATATATCAAACTTTCCTTGCTTCCTTTGCCTCTAACTGTAATTTGAAGCTATTCTTGGTGATATTGTTTGGTTGCTTTATTAAAATTAGATACTATTTTTTAATTTATTGTACCAGTTCATTAGAACATTTATGAAACGTTACAAAACTATGAAATCCCCTTTTGTTGTCGAACAGATGCAGATTTAATGCCTTGGCTTGAACTTTTCCTTTTCCAGATCAATTCTAAATACTTCATCTGTTTTTTTTTTTCCATAATTATTGCAGTGTTAACCCTTTTTTTTCCTGGATGTTTCAAATCAATTGCAACATTACCTTGTTTACCTAATGTTTTTGGATATGGGCCTTTTACTGTAGTCCAATTAAGTTTACCCCACTTTAAATCTAATCAGCCAATCCAAAATCGAAGTCCACTTATCTTAGCTTGATCAGGCCTTTTCCCAAGTGAATAGAAAACCTATATTTGGTTTTTTTAAAAAATCTGTAAAAAGCCTAAATACATTATCATTATGTTTTAGAGTAGATGATATATATTCTAAAATTTGGAGTTTTAGTTTGGTGGTTGGACAATGTAGATTGACATTTGAGTCTAAAATTAAATCTCATTATGTTGAAATTCTGTTATTGGGTAATTTGGACTGAAACAGTGGATTTAAACTTTGTTTGAAACACTTTCTCCCGTAGCTGTTGTAACCTTGGAAAGATATGTAATATTGGCGACAAAATCCTAAAACTCCCTCCAATTCTGAAACACAATGTTTATAGCTAATGCTTTGATGTCTTGCATACTTCGTGTCATTAAGGTTGATGGATTTGAACCACAACAAGATCTGGCGCAACCAGAAGTATCTATGGATCCCACTTTACCAAATCCCATACAACCCAATTCCAAATCAGGCATCATAGAAGAGAATGTTGTCCTTCGAAAGCTTCTTGTAAGTTTAAACGAAAATTATTATACTATTATTGTGTTTTATATTATGCATGGCAACTTTTGACTTGTTTAATTGAATTAGCGCAAAAGGAGATATTTTGACTGCAGAGATGGAAGCTCATATATAAAAGCGCATGCAGTCAACTCCCCTGCACAGAAGTTAGAGTCACCATGTTATGTTTGTGGACAATTTCAGCATACTGGGAAGAGATGTCCCAAGGTGGTGTATAAATCTTATTATAGAATTATTGAGTTCGCCATAAATTTTGGATGATACTTTTGGCTACTACTACTTTATTCTTAAACCATGGGTGTTTAGCCCACTATGTTTATACTTGTAATTAGCATTCTTTCGTAAATGACTGTATGCTAATCCCTTATGGAAAATAGAGCCTCCCTCCCCCCAACCAAAAAAGCTTTCTTTGAACGGTCATTACTCATAACTTTGTGTTTACTTCTTTATAAATTGGGTCTTTTGATTATTGAGGGTATTAAAAGTACACGATCAATTGTATTGTCCTATTAAATGAGTTTAGTACTTAAGTTAATTCATCAACATTTGCTTGAAACTTTTCTCTACTAAGCTGAATATCACTTCCAGCGCCGTATTTGCTCTACTTGCAAAAAAAGAGGCCACATCGCTGTAGATTGTCCAGTGAACGACAGTGAATGTAATATCTGTTTAAGATGTGGGGAATCCGGGCATGAACTCTTTTCATGCAATGTCGAATACTCTCCTGATGATCTTAAGGTGAGTTTGACTAAACATTAGTTTTCCTTCTTTCATTTTCTTTTTTTTTTCCTTCTTTTAAGATGTGGGGATAGTACTCGATACTAGTTATTTTTTCATGCTTCACTGCTGAGATTAGCTTTTCCATGACAGAATGTACAGTGTTATGTTTGCAATGAACTTGGACACATTTGCTGTGGTAACTATTCCGACATAAGCGTAGCAACTACCTCTTGTTATAATTGTGGGATATCTGGACATTCAGGTTTGGTAAGTCTCCTTTAACCTTTCAGTATATAATCAGTGTATATCTTCTGCATTAGTGCAAGACAGTGAGGCATATGGCTGACCAAAATTTTAATTTGTTCACTTGGCAATCTTTTGTGAAGCAATGCCCAAAACCGAATTTGGATAAGTCTGGTTCGTGTCCTCCTCCTATATGCTACAAATGTGGAGACGGTGACCATGTTGCAAGAAGATGCCCAAAAGATGTCGGACTGTCAGCATGCAATAAACATCGACAGGTGGGTTACTCAGTTACTGGCCTTGCTGCTGAATGTAGTCTCAAGTTCTGTGTCAAGTTGTCAACCCACCCCATCCCCAATTGGGAGAAATGGCAAAGGGGATTTATGTTAATTTTATAATTTTATATATTAGCCTTTATTTTCAGAAAACAAAAGCAAAAGGAGATATCAGAAAAATCAGGTAGAAGCTTACTTGTAACTTGACCAATGCAACAATTGTTTTCTGGCTTTGATGTTTGCAGGCTTCTGAGTTAGATTTGGAATTGGACGTAGATGGCAACCTAAGAACAGGTAGGAGAAGTAAGACATATAGGCACAGTAGAGTTAAGAAACAAAAGTTGAAAAGGTTACTTGAGTACATGACTGTATAGTATACATTAATTTGAGTTTGGGGAGTTTCAGTATTTTGCAGGTTGTGAAATCTCTCTCAAGTAGTAGTATTTTATCCCTGCGAACTTTGTATTATACTGCTCTTGTTGTAACATATATTGATTTCTTCCATGTAAAAGGAAAATTCGATTGATTACTAATGGAGTTAAGGATTATTAAATTACATCCATATTTATATTATACTCTTTATACTCTCCTCTTTAAATTGTCATTATGTACAAAAATTGTGGCCTTTCTTCTACATAATGTTTTGCAAAAGTGCCCACCTTTCCCTTTCTTCTACATGAACTAATACAAAAAATATCAAATTACTCGAGGACTCAAATTTACCACAAGTGTACGGAGAGAAGAAGTAACAGCAATACGCGAGGAAGGATAGGAGATGTGGAGGTCACGATCATTGTGACTGAATGAAAGAAGACACTAATTTAATGTATTAAGATGTTACATCTTATATAGTACTTCGTATGTATAGTCTTTCTCTCTGAAATAACTATTAGATGCAACGTTATATTGAAAACTACTTTAGATTGATGATTGGTGCTGTCAAGATTACTCATAAAGGCTTCATGTAGCATTCCAAACGCGAGAATTAGCTTCAGTTAAACATAGCCTCACACCCTCACCAATAAGGATATATATAATTATTTTTGAAACGACAAGCTAGGTATAACCAAGCTTTCATGCCATATTTGATTTTGTTTCTCGAGTCCCAAAGAATGAACAAGGTGACTCCTCAAAGATCATGATAATCTCAGCAACGAAAAAGTATAACAGCAGATTATTCAACATACTAGATCAACCTCATGGTGATTGATTATATCATTCTCGGCATAAAAGCAAACTGCAGGCTGTGACATTTGAGCAAGAAATCCAAGAAGTTGCAGAAGATTCTTCACACATACCAGTAAATTTGCATACTCACTATAAACTTATGTGCCTAAGTGGCTTGATTGAACAAATAGAACCAGTTAATTCATAGTTAACAGGAAGTTTGTGCCTTTGATTGTTTTCAACTTTCTCCGATGCCGAAATTATAATTAAAAAAAATATAAAAAAAATACACAAACTATACATATGCCCTCCACACACTGAAGTTCAAGTACACAAAATTCTGATTAAAGGCATCGGTCTTTGAGGAAGTTAGCCTATGGGTAAATCCGTGAATGTTTTATCCCTGTCATCACAAAATTGCAAGAAACATCAAGACAGAGCAATCACCTAGCAAACTAGCAAACTAGACTAGCAGTCCTACAAACTAGACTAGCAGTCCTATCTTGTGATTCTGTGAATAGCAAGCGAAGGAACTTTCACTTTGAATTTATACCTGTTGTGTCATCAAAATTTCGACAGCTACATCCAAATCTCCATCAGCTGCAGCTAGGGCGACTTCAACCTGCGTCTGAAACAACCATGGTTTCTTGTTAGCATTAACATATTTCATCTATGTATGTGCTTGTATGCTTCAGTGAGTAAGATCAGAGATTTTGAACAACAGGTAATCAATTCCTTTAAGTCACTCGACTAAAACAGAAATGATTTTACCTTATCGAATCCCATTGAGACAAGCTTTTGGATGTCTTCTTCAGATACAATGAGAGCCTGCAACAAAAGATTAGTTTAGAGGAAAGAAAACATATCAGATCCAAGTCTAATATCACAGACAAACCTGTTGCTGCTGCAGAGAATTGATTGGCTCTGTAACACTATTTACAGCAGGCGGCCTGAAATCCCATGATAAATTATGCAAGGAGTTATTTCTGGTCCTCAATGCAAATCACTTAAAATACATTTGGACATTTTAATTTTGTAAAAGAAGAGAAAAAAAAAACAAGAACATTTTCCCTAGTTTATAACAAAACTTAGAAACAAACTAATCAACAATTAATGTATTTCAGTAGTCGGTACCAAATAACTATCAATGACCAGTCCATTTAACTAAACCTCAGCCAGACTTTGAGATACCAGGGAAAAAATCATTCCTCATTTTAGTCACTCCTAAAAATCATTTAAAAAAACTACAACAAGTACATACTGAGGGAAAATCATTTAAAGAAGAATTTATACTGCAGTACTAAACATTAATCATCAAATTTCAAAGAGAGAAGTGCAGTTACACCTTTCACCTCCTGAATTTATTGCTGTCATGTCTGGTCGACTGTTTGAGTTAGCATTGTCCAGAAGCCTGGTCTGCAAGTTTGAATCAGAGGCTATGCCAGGAATCATCTCACTTCTCGGAGCGCCAAGAGTCCTCCCCCTACCAGGAAAGCGGGTATCTTGTGTCGAGTCTGTTGACTGGACATTTTGAACTATATTAGATGAATAACAAAATCACACTGAATAATGTTACACTCCAAAAAAATAAAGATAGTATGTGTTTCACATTTGTTAACATGTGTGAGGCAATAAGCAAAGCACAAATATATTGAGGGGATTATGACTTGTAACTCAACCAAAAGACGAAAAGGCTTTTAAAATAATATATTCAATTGAAACTTGAACAAGCACCAATATACTTTAACCCACACAAAATTATCTGTCCTGCAAAGGGTTGTCTATGAAACAGGAGAGTCGAATGTACAAGGTACGAACACTAAACTTGTGCAGAGAAACCTGTGCATTTCAAATGGTATGAATAGTGTACTGTTTTGAAGAAGATAAGCAGCATAAGATAGCTAGCCAAGATTGTGAGTCATAGCAAAGGGCAGGCATGATCGGAAAATGATCCAGAACCAGTTATAGAAATTATAGTCAATTAAAATAATACTTAAAAAACCTACTTTTTTTAGAACTGAAAGCTGCATTCTCATTTCCTACAAAACTATTTCGGCTGGCACAGGTTTTCAAAACGCTAAACAAATCACTGTACTCGATAATAAGATAAGCCGTGGAGTTGATTGGTGAGACAAAAAGGTCAAACTATAAGCAGCACATTCTTATTTAAGCTAACAGTGGATTGAGTTGGCATGAAATAATAGTCAGTTAAAATAATACTTAAATAGTTTCCAAAAATCTTGAGTGCAGTCACAACTTGGGTCATCAAGAAGCACAAGATGACAATATGATGTAAAGTACAAGCAACCCCACCCCTCAAAACAATATAGGAAAACTCTATTCTTTTCAACTTAAACAAACAAGTTTCCCCCAAATATATTCAATCTGCAAAATTATTTAAAAACAATTATACAACTTAATATCACCTATTCAGAATTTAAGATTTGTTCAACAAAATCCATTTCTAAAAAAAGAAAATCCCCTTGGAATTGTGATTGCAATTTTAATAATTACTCTCTCTATTCCATGTAATCTTGCTTCTTTTCAGCACAAGGAATAGCAATATTTCAAAGAAAAAACAGTATAGTTCAGCAAACATCAGTAGTTAGAATAGAATTCTATAGAATAAAATTTTAATGTTCCTAAAGAAAATAAAAATAAAATAATTCATTTGATACCTATAAAAAAGTCTACAGATGAGTTTGTTTTGTCACTATTGGAAAATCTTTACATTCTAGATAATGTTTAATGACTAGTTACAGTTTTCACTGGCAGTTACACTATTACAGTACTAGTTCCCCCCCAACCCCCCCCCCCCTTTTTAACTTGTGAGCAGTAAGTTTCTGATCACTAAAAAATTTATCATCAAACCAACGGGACAATCTTAGTTACACAAGTCCGCAACCGAGAAAGAAAATGTATGAGACAAGCCAAAAAGCCATAGATCTCAGAGGCCAAGCTCAAACCTGAGAAGAGGTATCCCTCTGTGGCATCAATGAAGACAGATGACTCCATAGATTTGTAGTAGCTGAGCCACTGCTCCAAATAAAATAGAAAATTAAAAAGGCACATATCCAGGGTTGTAAAGAGTCAATATAGCCAATTACACAACATACTACTTTACCTCGAAGTGGAGTTCGGATTAGTATATGTAGGTATGTGTCCTGAAGGGTTCCCACCTGTGCATAAAATGAACTTGGGTCGCCTCACACAAGCTGACTGAATGGCACAAAGATACAGCTCAGTTTCCATATTAATAAAGATAAACTGGGGTCTTTAATATTTTAGAAGAAGAGAGTGAATGTGATAGATGAAATGAGAAATTCAGTAAATGTAATGATATTGTTTCTCCCAAATACAACTAAAATAAAATGAATCACTCAATCATATTTTTCAATATCTCTTCCTCTCACTGATATCTCTTATTTATAGAGCTAACTAATTGCTTTCTCTCCAAAGCTATTTTGTACTTCCAATGTAAGCCCTTCCCTATAACCAATGCAAAACAAACGTAAGGTATACATTTTTCATCACAATTACTGAATTACGTCAATTAAGATAAAAAGCATATAGAATGATACAATGATCATTATCCTCTAGATCCAGTATTTATCTTTTACTGGAAAGAAAGTCTTAAGTTAGTGACACTCAACATTAGCTATACTGAAAAACTTTCAAACCATAAAAATTGAGGTATAGATACCAGAAATACTTCGTGGAAAAACCTTTCACTTAAGTTCCATAGTATGTGACAATCACTTGAAATAATATATCCCCTCCAATTCTTAAATCGCAGATAAATGAATATAACTCTCTTCACCTCTGTCAAATGTTGATGCTGAATATCGAATAAAAAATTGCAACACATGTTTTTTTTTGCTCAAATTTCTATCTTTCTGAAAATCAGTTTCCGATTAAAAACAAATTTTTTGTAGGTCAACAACAAAAAACATAAGAACTTCACATCACAGATTGTATTTTCAGAAATCAAACCATGAAATCCAGGTGTCATGCTGTAATTATACATTTAAATGTAAGTGACAAGGCCCGACAACCCTCAAAGGGAAAAGAAAAAGGGAAATAACACAAGGTTATCAGGCTCGCTTCATCCCTCGCTTTATCTTCAATTGTACCTTTTTATAGGGATGCTAGGTCAAAAATGTAAAAATCTAGCACAATAACACATAGAGCGATATGTACTTAACAGTTAACACAGAGTCAAAACAGACATTACATCCAAAGAAATCAAAATAATTTTAATAGTTGAAGACATTGTCGACAAAAAATGCTTGCATGTCAGAATTGGAACATTCTTGTGACTAGCCACCAAGGCACCAACTTGCAAAAAACATAATCTTGAGAATAGAAGATAACAAAACTCCTAATTACATTAAATTGACCAAGACCTTCAGGAGCCAAAAAATTAGATCACATGCTAAAACTACCAACAGACAGTTGATCAGAATTTTTATAAGTCCGAATAACAGAAAGGCAAATCAAAATACCTGAATCTACTATTCTACTGTACTTTTTTTTCCCATTTAAAAGCTGAAATAACATGCACTCCCTCCATTATATCCACTTTCTGTTTTGAGGTGTTTTTGTTCTACCCACTGTACTTTATTCTATTTTTAAGAAAACACCTTTTAATATATTACCCCCTAACCCCACAGTATTTAAACCTTTCCACTTGCTACTTATTTTATTCACCTTTTTCTAACAGCCACGCATTTTTACTCTATTTCTCCTACTTCATCCCCCTTTTTTTCTTCTTAAAACCACTCACCTTTCTGAAATGTTCCTATAAAACAAGCATAAGTAGTTAAAGTTATCATGGAGAAATACTCACAAGCCATGTTGAATTCTCAATGCCAGAAAAGAAAGAAGTTCCAGGTATTACAAGGTTGAATAACCCATAAGTATCTGTCACGGACAAATTTGTCATAACACAATGATCAGTAGTTGGACCTCCATAACATTGCAAAATAGGAGTGCAAAGAACAATAAAGATCACAAGACAATAACCAAACTCATCAATGTGTACTGAAACTCACAAGCAAACCCAGATAAAATGCCAGAAAGATGCCCGAGCAACGAAATATTAGTCAAGAGTAGCTGAAAGACCAACAACAAGATCCAGGGATACCTGCCAAATATTTTAAAAATAAAATGATAACAAATTTCAAAACTATGCACTTGTATTAGATAAGAAAAAGGCAGTATTGAAGTTTGAAACAATAAAAATAGAGAAGCATGACGTTCAATTACCATTTAGCAGGCACATTGAAGAGCCCAAACACACTGCATGAAACATGGGGATGTCAGAAAAATTGCAATTACTGCAAAAGGAATATACGAACAAAGATTGACCCACAAACCAACCTTCGGGAGTGAACTCCACTCAAACTACTCTCTATGACAATCATAGAAAAGAGAATTCCTGAGAAGCCTATGGCACACTCATTCATAAGAAATGAGTAAGGGTAAAATGGGTTGTATGCTACCAACAGTGCAATAAGAAGATGAAGTACAGCATTGCTTAGAGCCAATAACAGCACCGTGTACAAAAGGCGTACAGATCCCATGATCCTTTCCAGCTCAGAACCCAGAGGAACTAATGCTAACATATTGAAGAAGAGATGTAGGAATGAACCGTGAAACAAAATGGAGGTATATATCCTGTAAACTGTAGATACAAAGAATAAAGAAAATGCAAATCAATGAGAATGATGGAACCTTTGCAATAATTTGCCTATTATTACTGTCAATCAGTATAATCAGATGTACTTTTAAAAGGAAATGAAAGAAAAGTGTGAAATTTTTTTTAAAAAAATCATGGTTATCTCTCTCTCGACTCACCTGGTGAGTTTAATTGCAAATCACTCTTATTTGGAAATCTAAGGTCCCAACACAGGGAAATGTTTATGCTTGGACATCGTTTTGGATACACTAAATACTACAGAGTTATAACAAGGACCAACTTCAAAGACCAAAGAAAACCTTTTTGACTGTTTATATTTTTGCACGTGTAATAAGAGCTCTCATGTCAATAGTCCACTTTTCCCTATACAAATTTGTCTCTATCTAAAGCATGCATTTCACCAATAAACCAATCACTGAAGTGGTGCATTTGACAACACATTTTTTTTTTTAGTTTTGACATCAACTTGAAAAAAATGTAACTTTTTTCCTTTTAGGGAAATGTCCTAAGAGCATTGCAAAACTTTATTTGGGATGCAGGAGGTATGGTTTCCCGTTGGAGACAGGAGAAAATAATTCCAATCTTGAGGGTTGGAAGATAGCTACACATCTGTAAAATCAGCATTTCTTGTTGTTGGGTTGGGTTAAAGAGGGGTCTGTCATGCATCTACTTTCCAGCATTCTCAGCTTTCAAATTTAGTTTGTGTAACTGGTTCCATTTTTGCACCCACAAACTTTAAGCTCAGTAACAAACTGCATCTCAAACTTTCCACTGAGACAAATTGCAACCTTAACTTATTGGTTGTTAAAAATTCCATTATTTTGACTTAATAGTAAATACTATTCAACTTCCATAAAGATTTTCTCCCTCAACCTCAAGGCGGCCAGGCCCCACCCATGACAGAAGATTTAAAAAAACAAAAAAAGATAGCCAAAGATAGCAAGAATTACAAACCACATCAGAGACAGCAAAATTAAAACAAAGGGAATCCAGAAATGAGCTGGATGTCAACATCTATAAAGGCTACGGAAATAAAAATTAGTGATTAAAGCTATATATCATTGCATATTATAAACACAAAGAGGTCAAATAATCATCACCTTTCACTCAAAATCTTAGTACAAAGTTAACTTGATACCTTACCACAATGATGAAAAAAAAAAAAGTGGACTTGTTTATTAACAACAGGAGTTTTCCAGGAGCCTCAATAATCTTAAGTTGTAACAAGGGTCTTAAGCTTCCCAGCACCCTAACTCTCCCAATGAAAAAAAATGGAAAAAGAGAAGTGATAAAGACCAACAATTAAATAGGATACAATGGGATGTTGACATGTCCAACCATATACTATAAAATTGAATATCAATTGGTGTCAACCAGAGTTTCTAAACATTCACATTTTCTTCTGAGCTTTCCCTATGATGACGAATCAGAACGTACCTTGAAACTGTGATATAATTGCAGAAGGCAAAAAGCATATCCCCACAAATGAGTCATAACCAATCAAAAGGCAAACCAAGTAGATGGCTGCACAAACAGCAACCACAGCAGATGTGATGAATGGAATCCCTTCCCACCATTGATTAACCCGAGTACTTACACTAGCCTGTACACGTAAGAACATGAGCCCAAGTTAATAAGTGTATATTATAATATTATTGACTATATCCAGAATTTCCAGAGTAGAAACAAAACATGAATCCTCATACAGTCATACATATATATGTCAACCCATCAAAAGGATAACGCAGTAGGGAGAGTGGAAGAAGTACAGACTCCACAGAGGATGCAGAAAATGGAGAAAATATAGGTGTCCATTTGTTACCAAAATCTTATTTAGAAAGTTTTATTCTACAAGTTCTATCATACCAAACAAGTATTTGTATAATTTAAGCAACATATCCCAACTCAAATCCTATCATTTTGTTGAATGTAGAATGTCAAGATATATAACCATATCCTTATTGGATTTTAACCCAATCAATTGAAATAAGAGGTAAGAGCTAAGCAATTCAATTTACTGATATTATATTCTATAAGTTCATATCAAGCAATGTATAGTTAAAAAATCAGTTAGTTCTTCCTATTCATTAGCTCTAGCCATAGCTAAGTTCTTTGATTAATTCTATTAGTTCTTCTCTATCATCAGAGTTTAAATTTCATTAGATAGAACCACAAATGTTCCTCTCGAAGAACCATTGAGAGAATGTCAAAAAAAAATCCATGTTCTATACAATGCCATAACTAACAGAAAGAGCTCAGCACCTTTTCATCAAATTTACTTTGAGTTGACATTTTCGACGGTACTGGCAATGGCAGTTCTACACTTACTCAAAAAAAAGGACTCACATTTTGTATTCTCTATTAAGTGTCAAAAGAAAATGCATTCTTCAAAACAAACCATGTGTTACTTTTCCTCGTTCCCTTCGATTTCGCCTTAACCTCTTTTTTGGTATTAGAATCCATTCCATTACCACACTTTACATAGTCCTTGTTAGCATGATTTTCTCCCAATTTGAGGGTATCAATTCCACTAATCAATTACCCACAAAAGATTTATACACACCAACTATCAATTCATTTAGCATAAATCAAGGACCCCAATTTGACATTTCCACAAAATAAAATACAAATATAAACTAACCCCCAAACAGAAAAATCCCAATTCAAAACAAGTACAAAAAATGAAGTAAAAATTCATGAAATATAATCTTGATCATCAATTGCAAAACCCCAGTAAAAAAAGTTGAAAGAAAGAACTGAAGTAAAAGTATTACCTCGGAAACAATGTTGGGCCTCATTTCGTTGGTTAAACAGAATGTAGAATTGTTGAAGTGATGAAAGCTCAACTGTATTCTTAGATCAACATTCCTCTTTATAAAGTTGTTTGATTTGTTGTTGAAGTCACAGTTTATGTTTCAGGTGAAAGGATCTTTCTGGGGTCTTCGTCTCTTCAACCGGGTCGGTCTATGTTATGGGGTTATGGCACCCGTCACACTACATTCCCAATATCCGATCCAACCTCTGTTTGTTTTTTTTTTTTTTTTTTTTTTTTTTACAAGAAAAAATAAATACTATTGAGCCAGACCAACCCACTAACTAGGACCTTACGAATCTCACACTAAATATCGCAAAAACTAAACTTCGAATATCTTAAACAGCCACAGACAAGATACGTCAAGATCCCAACTATCCCAAAGAAGAGAAAATAGGACCGAACAATCAGTATAAATCAGCAAACGTCTATAACCACAGCGATAAGCCAGTGCAAAGAGCCCAAAAACAAGCTTGTAACTCAAAGTGCAAAGCTGAAAAAGAGTGACAAGCTGTAAAACTTCCCCCCAACACAAAGGCTGAACCAACTTCCCTAAATATCCATCCAACCTTTGCACTACAATCTTGAGCGTTCCACGCCCCATAAAAAAGAAGACAAGCATCAAAGGAAAACGTGAGGGAGCGACAAGAAATAGAATTCACCAAAGCTCCACAAGTAAACCTCTTTGAGGAATTAACCAGACTGATTTAATTTCGTGCCAAAGAACTCCGAGATACCCAGTCCTGCATTATATGAAGATCACGGTTGGAGGTAACACACATGGAGAAATATTTTATGATTACGCGCAATTCAGACCGCCTAACATAAACAAACAAATGTGACCATGTCATTCCACCTCTTTGTAGTATGAAATTCGGAAAGGTTGTCAACAAACCAAGCAGTGAAAGGCTTGTCATTCAAAAAGGGGAAGGACGAAGAAGTTAGAATAGAAGGCCAAAGGGAAGAGATAAAGGCACATTCTCATAACAAGTGGGCTAGAGTTTCGAGGTCACTGTAGCAAAACACACAAGTTGGATCCACCGGAATACCCCTAAGCTGCAGAGTTCTAGCTTAGAAAGGGGTAACACATTATTAAGGAGTTTCCAACAAAAGCAATGCAACTTTGGCACAAGAGGTAAATCCCAAAAAATGCTTCCACCAAGAACTCAAAAATAAAGTAGTAAAACTAGTGGCAGCTGACTGATTGAGCAACATTGCATAAGCTGACTTACACCAAACAAAGCATGGGAAGTGACTTCCTAGGAATTTATAATTCCTACATTGTCAAACAAACAAATTTAGCCCAATTCCAAAGGAATCAACAAAGGAAAGTATTTCCCATGAAATTGAAATTTCAATAGGAAATTATTTCCCATGTGAACCAAACAACACCTTTATGTTATAGAGAAATTTATCACAAGTTGTAGTAAAGTGTAGTCAATATCACAATGCGTTACCTAAAATTTAGGCTGGAATTATATAGTCAATTATTCATTGTATCATCAATATCAAGTCTCTTTCACTATTAAGTTTCTACATTATTGTTGCGTTTACTCCTTATGAGACAAAGTTTTAGTGGGAATGTTTGAAGTTTGACGGTTAGAAACTTAGAAGTAATCTTACAAACATTAAGTAATTCTAATTTGTAAATAATGAAAATTAATAATAAATAGAAATATGTACCATAATATGGAGGAAGCATATTTTATCAATTTAATTACAAAAAAAAAAAAAAAAAAAAAAAAAAAAAAAAAAAAAAAAGAGTAAGATACTCAATATTAAAATGGAGATTTTCTCCTTTTTTCAATGTAGAAGCATTAATTTGCCTAAGAAATTCATTATATTTATTTTTTATTAATAATTATAATTGACTATCGTTTTATGTTTCTCTAGACACTAATATACTACATCCGTTAATTATTATGTTCAACTTTAGAATATTTTGTTGTACTCCGTCCGTTTTTAATACTTGCTCCATTTCTCCATGCATGGAGTTTAAGGAGAAATTGAAGAAAGTAATAAAATATGGAGGTGGTGGGGTTGGTATAAGAATAAAAAAATCGTAAAAAGCAAAAGTAGTTGAGAAAATGGGAGGAGAGAGAATATGAAAGTAATAAAATATTATTATTTATGTTGGGTCCATTAGTTTAGAGAAATGAATTAATTATTGCAAAAGTTTTCCAAAAGGAAATTGAACAAGTATTTAAAAACGATCATAAAAGGAAAGTGGAACAGGTATTTAAAAATGGATTGAGAATCTTACAAAAAATATCCCAATGTTGCACATAATAATTAATGAAGGTATTAGTTCAATTATCAATAATAATAATTTATAAACTAAGCATGGCTCGGGGTCTATCTAGCAGTGACATTAAATAATCAACAAAATAATGTTTGTCAATCTTTCATTATCGGAGATGGCCTTGTATAATAGGCTCAACGTTCTTTTAATAATTGGGCATAATCGTTTTCTGCCATAATTTTGAAAAACAATATTGAAAGATAAAACGAGTAAATATAAATTGGAGGTACTGAAGTTTGCCAAAAATTGCAGTTAAGGTACTAACGTTTTAGAAGTTGTAGGTAGAGTACTCAACAGAAAAATAACCTTCTACAATAGGTTGTCAAAAAAAAAAAGGAAATTAAATTTCTGACATTAAGTCAGAAGGTACTAATGTTTGCAATTGTTCAATGTTTTGAGCGGTTAAAATATAGCCGTTACAACTAAAAAAATAACTGACTTCCATTTATATTGCTCTCCATAGCCATCTTCTTCTACTCAGATACCTTGCAGAAAAAAAAAATTCAGAAGAAGCATTTACAAAATTATAGGAAAATTTACTGATTTTTTTTAAAGAATTTGTAACATGTCAAGGCTAAGCAACTTTGGGAGTAGGTGTTGCTGTGGTTTGTTGGTGTCTAAGAGTAGGGCGCGGACAAGAGATAACCCTGGCATAAAGTTTCTTGCTTGCCCTGACTATGATGCAGAAACTGATAAGAGGGGCCGCAAATGTTTTAAGTGGGTGGACAAGGAAGACCCCAATGCATGGCAGACTGAAGTGATATTGGGGCTTATGCAAGAGAATTAGGAAATAAAGAGTGAAGTTATGTCTATGAGGAAGGAATTGAAGCAAGCAAACAAGTATTCTAGGAAGATTGAAAGTGATTATGTTATTCTAAAAGTAAAAAGGGTCGCTAGGATGAATTTGGGCATTAATTGTGACTTGTGGAAGGTTGTTATTGTGCTTCTTGTGCTAGGAATTTGGTATGCAATGAAGAACTGTTCTAGTGTAGCCTAAAATAAGTCTTAGTTTGTACCTGTTGTATCTACTTCCTGTTGTTTCTCTTCTTCCTAGCTAAATCCTGTAATAATTAATGCAATTAGTGTATGAATTATAATATTAATGATTGACTAAATTTTATTATTTGAATGTTTTTTATACCTGCAATGCTTGAATTGAAATGGTGTTGTTGTTTTGGCTTTGTTGTTGGCTTGCCATAGGGTATTGATCTTGACTAAATGAGTACACAGTCTGCTCTCTTTCAATATCGGTGTAAAATTCCCTGTGTGGTTTATGTTGAGTTGGCCAGGGATTGTTTGGAACCTCCTATCTAGGAAAAAAAAACAAGTTAAGGGATAAGTAATGTAAATACATTTCGGGAATTTGACAAATTAGATTTACTTACTGATGCAACTCTCTGATAGCCATTAGAATATGTGTACACCCCATATCCCCTCATGTGCATGGGGACAAAAGTTTTAGGTGCATTTTCAGGCTCTTATGTTGTTGATGTGTGCTGAGGTGCTTCTCTTTCTTTTGGAGCATTCTTGCATCCCCTTTTGTTATGTCCCTTTAATCCACATAAGCTGCAAGTATGAGGGTATCCTGTCTTCCTCAGCTTTCCAGCAGTTGTTGTCTCCCCTGCCTGATACCTCCTCTTTGTCTTTGGTCTCCCCTGAACCTTTTTCAATTTTGGTGGGATCACAATGGCTTCAGTTTGTGGCCATTCTTAAGGACCATTCAAGGGATCAAGAAGGAAAGCATATGCCTTCATGTACTTCTCTTTGGTGAAAACCTCATTCACATAGTCTTCAGGCTGGTCTGCTTTATTCCAAATAGCTACCACTTAGTTGTCATGTGTTTACAGGGAATGCCACTTAGTTGTCAAGCATTGCAACTGCAAGTGTTGGCCTGCAAGTTAACCATAAATTTGTCATGTGTGGCACCCTTCCTCACCCCATAGCAGAATCCTCCATCCCAAAAAGTATTCCAACCCCTTGCCCAAATTAAATCTTCACCTTTTCCAATCTTTGATGAATCCTAGGTCAAAGCATTGTACTCTTCTTGCCAATTTCATCTCTTTTTTTTATGTAGTCTCTCCATCAACCCCTCCCTTATACCCTCAAGCATTGTAATATTGGATTATGCTTGGAAATCAAAATGTAGGCATTGAAAATCGCACTCATGCTGTTATATACACTATCACAACATGACATTGGTGTATAGAAGGACCTACACCACTTCCTGTAGTTCCTGTTCATCAAATCTTCAGCTGCATCAGCAGATATGACCCTCGCTTGTGATTTCAATGTTTTCCGGAAACTCATTTTCAGTGTTACTTTTAGCTATTATCCAAACTTGCTTTCTAAATTCAAGGCCCCTTCCAAAAACCCCTTTGACATTGCAGTATACATGCCTAGCATACACCCTTGTTTCAGCCTCTGGGAATACACCAGATACTACTGCTAAAAACCCCTTCTACTGGTCAAACATAAATGTGTAACCAGCCCCTATTGTTTGTCTCTCAATCATCACCAAGAAGAGACAAGAACCATGTCCAAGTGTTAGTACTCTCTACTTCAACAACAGCCCAGGCCAAAGGAAACATCTGGTTGTTTCCATCTCTCCCTACGGCAAAAAGCAATCGGCCCCTAAAAGGTCCTTTTAGAAAGCAGCCATCAAGGGAGATAAAGGGCCTACAACCAGCTTTAAACCCCCTTTTCAGTGCCTCAAAACACAAATAAAGTCTCTCAAACACATTACCACTCATCTGCAACTTCACAGTATTTCCCCTGTTACTCCTCAAAATTTCAGCAGCATACCTAGGAAGCAAAGAGTATTGTTCCTCGTACTCTCCAACAATCAAAGCCTGACCCTTCTTCCTTGCCCTATAAGCCATGAACTTGCTTACCCTTATTTCTTTATCAAGCCAAATAGACTCCCTTATATCTTGTAACTTGATGTAAGGGTTAACTCTAAACCAATTTGCATAATTACTAGAAATCCATGTAGAGCTCATCAATGTAACTTTTGCTACCTTGCCACAGTTATGCTCTCCTATGTAAGCCTTCACAACAAAATTTCTTTTATGACTATCCCATGAAGCCCATATTTTCCAAGGGCACCCTTTATCATGCTGCCTACACTTAGATCCTACCCTGTTAGGATCATTTTTGTAGAACTTTATGTTCCTACCACTCCCAACAAAGTAATCAGTCAAAGCTTTCCTAAACATCACAGCATTCTCAAATAGTTGACCTAAATAAAAATTAGTTTTTGTGCTCTCACTAGGCCTATGAACTCTTGCCTTTTTCCCTTGTATAGGTGCAATGAGGTACCCAAGATCATCTTTATCATCATCTTATTTAGGACTATCTTCATCACTAACACCTTCCCAATCATCCTCAAACATATTCACTCCTTTCCCCTTAGATTCGGCAACACTTTTCAGCATACCTAACTCCTCCTCATAGTCCAATTCATTTTTTATTTCCTGAGTCAGTCTGTCCCTAGCACTTACAAACTCCACATCATCTTCATCAGTCCCCTCACTGTCATAATCATATTTAACATCTCTATTAATCCTAGGTTCATAACAACCAACACCATCACCATTCAACAAAGACATGAAAGACCCTTGACCAGACCCTAGACCACACCCTCACTAGTAGAAAATATCAAAAAGGCACCCCCTTATTGCCACCAGTTCAGTCCAAACCAGTGGCAAAAATGGGCTAAAAAATTGGCAGCCTAATGAACCAGTATATAAGGCACCGGTTCACTTCAAACCGATGGCAAAAACATAAATCCCACCGGTTCAAGTGAACCGGTGCCATTTAATATTAAAAAAAACCCACTCCATAAACCCCCCCAAACCCTACGCTCTCTCTCCTCATGCGCCTCTTTCCTTCCTTTCTCTCATCTCCTTCGTTCTACCAGCATGGAATTCGATTTCCACCGCGAGCTTAGTGTGAGCTCTTTCTCATCTCCTCCTTCTCTTTCTCATCTCTCCTTCTATCTCCAACATGGAATTCGATTTCCACAACGAAGACCACCACGAAGACATGCAACACCACTTTCTGAGTTTTTAATCGATCTTTATTCGATTTTTTTTTAATCGATTTTTATTCGATTTCCATTTCAGGGTTTTTTTTTAGTTCTGGTTTATTTTTTTCGATTTTAATTGTTTTTTTTTCAATTTTGGTTTTTTTTCGATTTTGGTTTTTTTTTTTCGATTTCTGGGATTCTTTTTTCGATTTTGGTTTTCTGGGTTTCAATTTTGATTTTGATTTTGGTTTTTTTTTCGATTTCTGGGATTTTTTTTTAATTTTGTTTTTTTGGATTTCAATTTTGATTTTAATTTTTGGGTTTCAATTTTAATTGGTTTTTTTTTTCCGATTTTGATTTTTTTTTAATTTCGATTTCAATTTCTGGTTTTTTTTTTCCTGGGTTTGAATTTCTGCTTTTTTTCTGGGTTTGAATTGTTTTGATTGAATTTCTGGGTTTTTTTTTTCGAAGCTTATTTTTACTAATTGATTTTTTTTTTGTTTTAATTGGTGCAGGTACATTGATTATGCAAGAAAATTGATATGTTTATATTGTAATTTTTTTTTTATTTACGAGTATATTGTAATTTTTTAATGATTTATAATGTAATTTTTTTTATTTATTTATATGTTGTAATTGATCTATATTGTAATTTTGGATTTGATTATATATTGTAAATTTTGGATTTGATTATATATTGTAAATTTTGGATTATATTGAAACCAATTCGATTTATATTGTGATGTTATTTTTTTTAGTTGATTTAATTGTTAAGTGAAAAAAAAAATTAAAATTTTGGGCACTTTTGGCACCAGTTAATCGGTGCTAAAAACATTTGATAAAATTTTTTGGGCCATTTTTGGCACCGGTTAACCGGTGCCAATAACTATTTTTGCCACCGGTTTGAACCGGCGGCTTTTCAAGCTAGTAATTGGCACCCCCACATTGGCACCAGTTCAAACCGGTGGCATTAAGGGGTTTTGAACCGGTGCCAATTTCATTTTTTCACCTAGTGCCTACACCAGTCCCTTGCCCAATATTGCCTACATTAAAGTTTGAAACCATGCCCAATTCATGTTTAGAGTACACATGAAGCACTCTGCACTCAAGCAACAAAGACAGAAATGGGTCAAAGTACCTACTGTCAAAAGCTAGAAACCTCATACCATCTTTCATGGTTTTCCTAGGATCCAAGAAGTGAAGCTTTAAAATGTCAGTGTAACCTAAAGAGTCTATCAACTGCTTGACATATGAGCTATCAACTATGTCAGGGATGTCATCAAACACATTGACCCTACCACCCCTGTAGTACATTTCTTCTTCTTCCACCCAAATTCCACCATGGTTTACAGCTAAACATGGCTTTAAATCATCCATTTTGTCTGCCAATGTGTACAAATTTTAACTTATTATTAAAGGTATGATGAATATAAGCATAACATTACAATTATATAATAACAAAAGCATAATAAGAACATGCACTGATGAGATATATAACATAAGTGGCTTCACTTATATATAGCCAACTCCTAACTTTTAACCAATGTCATGGTAGTGACAAGTCCCAAAAGATGATGCATGATTTGTCACCAATACAAAAAAACTTCAATTCCCTACCATGACATTGAATTTCTACCATGAACATCTTAAAACTAACATAAAAACAGAAAAAGCTTAACACTAGCAGCTCCTAACACCAAAATCCTACAAGCTGCACATAACCCTCCCCCCAACCTACCACAACTACCTACTGCTCCTCCTTGAACAGTAGAGGGAACCCATCAAAGTAGGTTGTCATGTCATTGTTCAGCCAAGCATGTAAGTCCCGATTGTCGTTGAAGATGAGGTCGTTTAGAACCCACTTATTCACAGAGGTCCTAGGTCCCATGAAGGGTTGGAGGTTTGCCAGGTGTCGAGTCATCCACCAAAGACGCCATTTCTTGCAGACCTGCTTAACAGTATCCCGACTAAGCCAATCCAGCTTGGGGAAGACATGGAGGGCAAGGAGGTCGGGGTTGCTAAAAATTGGGTGAGCTTCAGAAAGAGCATCCATACCTAGGTCAAGCATGTAGTTAGATAAGGTTTGTTTCATTTTCAAAAACTACTCTGTTTCACTGACAACAAAATCCTAGAAAATTTCTAGAAATTCAACCCAAATATACCCATTTTTTAAAATCGGACAAAACCACTAGAATTCACAAATAAATTACCAGATGATGACAACAAGCAACATCCAAAACCATAAAAAGCAAAATTCACCCAAAAAAACAAAATAAACCCAAAATTCTGTACAAAAAAACCATTAATGCTGAAATAAAGTCGATGAAGAAAAAAAAAAGAATTTACCTTAGATGATTGCAGCTGCTGTAATTTCGCTTTCCTAGCTAATGTTTCTGAACCGAATTCCCACATTTACGGCGTTGAGCTTGAAGGGGAAGGAAGAGTTTTTTGAGTGAAAGAGAGAGCTCTGTTTTTTTTCTAAAAGAAATGATGAAGGAAGCCGATGGGGTGAAGGGAAAATAAAAAGGCATTCACCTTTCTAATTCTCGCGCCAACGCCAGAAAGGTAATGATGGTTTTCGTTTCCTAAAGTACACGTCGCCCTTTTTTTTTCCTTTCTTTTAAAACCAAAAAATTGTTGTAACCGGTTTTAACAAGTTGGTACCGGATTCTTTACCTCCTTTAATAGGTTTAGTACCTTTTGTGCAACTTCTAAAACGTTAGTACCTTAGGTGCAACTTTTGGCAAACTTCAGTACCTCCAATTTGTATTTACTCATGATAAAACTCATAAAATAAAGAATCTTGATTGAGGTTCAACTGCATATTTCAAAATTGATTTTCATCCATGTATATTTACTTTTGGGGTTGGAATTTGGGTTTGCTAGGGTTTTATTTCCAATACAAGTCATCTAATCTCTAACCATTATTTCAAGTCTAATCAATTCTGTCAAAAAAAGTTCAATCAATAGTGTCTTGTTTCTCACCACGCCAAGTCGCTGCTGTAGACACCTATTTGTATCTCCCCAAAACCAAACCCAGTGATGAGTACCTTTCACGTCGAATCATAATCGAATGAAACGAAAGTGTGGAAAGGTCTAGTGTTGCGGAAAGTTTTATTTTCTTTTCTCTTCTCTCTGTTTTTGAAAACTTATTTTAAGAAAACAGCCAATCCAGTTTGGTTGGTCCATGATTTGGGTCCAATGGTAGTGTAGTTGGATGGGGCTTGCAAAGACCTTTCCAACGATATATTATAAGCCCAATTCCGATGATTATTAAGGAAGTTATGGCCAATTTACCAAACTGGGCCCGGTTTGAGCTTTATGTACAAACCAATGATCTAGGGGAGGGCCTAATATGATTTATCATTCCTAATGCAATTAGGAATGGTTTTAGTCTTCTAGATTCTTCTAGAAGGTACTTTTCATTCCTAATTCAATTAGCATTGATAAATTGACTTTTGTTGACTTTTCAGAGTTTTAATCAAAATCAAATAGCATTTTCGAGGAAATTATATTATTTTATCCTCCAGTACGGTAAACTTATCGGATTTTTGAAAACGCGTTGGAATCAGGCTTGGCGCCTAACCCCAGGCCTTGGCGCCTGGAACCAGGCCTGGCGCCTGGCGCTAGCCATTGGCGCCTGGCGCCAGCTCTGTTTTCTGAGCGTCGGACTCTGTTTTGTTAATTTATCTTTTTTGGCTGATTTTCTCTATAAATATCGCATTAAAAACTCCGTTTTCATTCATCATCTACATCTATCATTCATCAATTCTCACCAATTGTTTTCAATTCTCATCAACAATCATTAATTCTTTAGCATTCTCTAAATCATTCATCTCTCTTAAAACATTCGATTCGTTCTTTCTAAACCTTTGCTTTCCCATACAAAATTCCGCATTCACAAGATCTAGAAACACCTAGCCATATTCGAAGTTGCCTTCGCCCTAGACGTGAAAGGTTTAATTTCCGAGGGTTTGGTCCCAAATCTCTATTTCAATTATTTAATTTAATTGTTTGATTATTATTTTCCTTGAAGTTACTAATGTGTGTATTTTGTTATTAGAAAGAGGTACGAGGCATCAAAGTAAGTGCTTTAATGGTTTTAATTGATTTTATGATGTAGAAATCATGTTTAGACTGTTATTTTGATTCCTAGTATCATGTCTAGGGTAATTTTATTATTAAATA